AGGAAGGCTTGCAGCAGATGATGCCAGGATTAGGGATGGACATTCATTGTTATTTGATCATTTGAATTTTTGGACAGATACTTTTGGAATGTCCCAAAGTGAAAATAATTTACGTTGTTATGAATCAAAATGTAAATGTATATGTATGGAAGATTTAACATTTGATTAATGTGTTCAGCCAGTGTGAGAGTTCACCAGAGGCTGCCCAGATAACTTAGTGATTTGTAGTTGTGTTTTATTTGTGATTTAAAATGCTACTAAGTACTTGCACAGTTTAGGTCTGCAGAAATTTGCCACCTTTGTGTTTGAAATATTTCCTGCTTATAGCTCCATGCGGATTTACTAAGAGAGATGCTAATTACCAACAGTTTAACATCTACAGTCTATGGTGGGGGTGGCCAATTTAGTGGCTTAGTACTAAGAACTTCCATGCAAATGAAGACAGGCTTTCTAATTTCTTTCTAATTTGACATGCGCAATTTAACCATGCATTTGACTGACAGACCTTTTTGTATGAAAGCCTGTTTCCCCTGACTTTTGATCCCCGTTTCAGGTTCAAACTGTGACTCAAAAAAATGTTGACATAATGACTTATTTTCTCAAGATAAGATAGGATCAAGATTAGAATCCACGTCACCTTGTTCCCGAGCGGCTTTCCAAGTGGCTATTGAAGCTAATAGAGTAAAGATGTCCCAGAAAGAAATCACGTGTGGGAACACTTTAAATTATCAGACAGCAAGAAAAATGCTCAGCACAAAATTTGCGATATTTTGTGGCAGAAGTTTTATAATGGGTTTAAACTTGACAGCACAAGCAGCAAATGTGTTCATTGCAGCAAAATTACAATCACAAGTTTTTACCACACATCAGAGATTAGCCTCCACACACAGTTAGTACAGCACAGGGGCTGCTCTGCAGCTGCCACACCAAAGGATAATCACGTTGTGTTATAATATTGTTTTAAATATAGCTTAGATTGCTATAGAAAATGAGAATGTGTGATTTGACTGGCTCTCTATGGAGTTTACGCTTCACTAGCACGCAAGTGGGAAGAAGATACATTTGTAAGGTTGGAGGGGCTAATGTTTTGACACTAGATGCAATAGCACAGCTGGTGCAACCTGAAACACTGAATACATTTGTATCTGTTCTGACAGGACAGATGGATGACTAAAAACACTTCAGATGTTTTAAGGATCATTTTGAGAAAAAGATATTGGGTTCTTGTACGTAAATATTGACTAATGTCCAAAGCCTGTGAAATGGTATTCGTGCCAGCTGTACAAACTACACATCGTCACTGTCCAAAAAAGCCATCTATGTCCGTTTTTGTCCATTTTTCAGCAGCTGTCCTTTACATTGTGTGAAAATTCCATGATGAATGGAATCTTAAAAAATGCTCCAAAATAACTTAGAATGAAATATCTTTATATTAACATACATTAAAAATTGCAATAGTTTTGCCATCTTCTGCAAAGTTACTATTTTGGAGGTACATGTTTTTATTTGGACAGCGATGATATGCCTTATTTGGTATCTGTGTATTTGAATAACCACACCCATCCCTAGCTGGGCTTGTGCTCTGGTTTCTTTCGGTGGATGTGAAAACTGAGCGTTTGTTTTGCGTCCAGAATTTAAATGGATGAGCGGCCAAAGATGTGTGGAAGTCGTTAGAGTGGAGCCAAAAGTGAGAGAGAGCTGGAGGGAGGGAGGGAGGGAGGGAGGGAGGGAGGGAGAGAGAGAGAGAGAGAGAGAGAGAGAGAGAGAGAGAGAGAGAGAGAGAGAGAGAGAGAGAGAGAGGGAGGGAGGGAGGGAGGGAGGGAGGGAGGGAGGGAGGGAGGGAGAGAGAGAGAGAGAGAGAGAGAGAGAGAGAGAGAGAGAGAGAGAGAGAGAGAGAGAGAGAGAGAGAGAGAGAGAGAGAGAGAGAGAGAGAGAGAGAGAGGACTGAGGGCATACGAAAAGCTGATGAAAAGAGAGAAGGTTGGGTGGGAGGATCTGAAAGGGGCAGCAGATACTTGTCTCTGTAAAATGTATGTAATTTCCAGCCATTAAATATAAGTCATTCATTTTTCAGCATCAGGAAAAAGCAGAAAGCATATTTAGCAGAAAATTATACAGAACTAAAGATATTTGTTTCAGTGTTTAGTGTCCACTGTTTACCTTTATTACAGCTTCCATTCTTTTCAGGAGACTCGCTTTCAGTTTCTCAAAGAAATCTGCAGGGATATTTTTCCACACCTCTGAAGTTCAGTCTTGGAAGTTGGTTGAATTTTCTGCTTTTCATAATCGAAATTATCCCGATTGTAAAAATAGACTGATAAGTCTTGTCTGTTTTGGTCCACATTTTCTTTTCTTTTTTGTCTGTTTCCTTTTCTCAGTAAGGGCTTCTTGACAGCTACACACCCTTTCAGACCCAAAGCGTTGAGTTGTCTGCTCACATGGACAGAAACACCTGTGGAATTTTTCACATCTGAAGCAAGAAATTTTCTTAAAGATGAAAGCTTTAAAAACTGTTTGGCCCAAACCTATTTCACCCCTTGCCCCTACCACTTAGCATTTGGCATTTTGTGCATTCACGTCTAGGGATAGGGTGTCCCGAGTTTTGTTGAGATAGAGGAGTAGGGCAAAGTGTAAGAGCTACATGGCGCTCCAAACGGAGGTTTTTCAGAGGCTCACTCCCCTCAGAGAGTCATAAGAAAAAGTAAAAAAATTACAATAACCACTGTATTATTTTAGTTTAATATCGTTTCGAGGTATTATGCTCCTTTTTTGTCATAACAAGCATTTAAAATTGCTAATAGTATGCTAATGTCTTAATAGCTAGCTAGCTAAATTTCCCATTCCACCTTTAATACAGTCTAGCTGTACTGATGCTTGAAGCGCCAGAATGTAACTGCTGCTCCATTTAAGGTGGAACGGGAAAATGTAAACAAGAAGCTGGTGAATAGCTTCAGCTTCATGTCACCGAAGAATTTGGGGTGGACGATAATAAATAATTGTCATATCCCCTCTTGAAAGGCATATGATGCCCTAAATGTAACTTTACCCTTCTCAGCTATCACTGCACTGCAGACTGGCAAGGTCGCCTACAGAGCACCAGAACCTGTTAATAAAGTAATGTGTGACACTCGAAAACAAGGGGTAAGGGTAAAAATAAGAAATGGGATTGGGCCTTAATCTGGCAGTGACATTTTTGGTGGTCTGTAAAGTCTTGCAGGTGGTTGCTGGGAGTCCCATTTCCTCTAGTTTTGGAAACTGGAATTTTTTTGAAGAGGAAAATAATGTCAGTGATCACAGATAGATTTGAGATTAAACTTTTTGGCTTTGGTGTAATTTTCAGCTAAATATATTTCCTGCCTATTTACTGACACTGAAAAATGACTTGTACTGAGTGGCCATTTTGACTGGAAATGAAATAATTACAGAGACAAAGCAGTGCATATCCACTCAGCTAGAGGAGAAATAGCATTAGAAATAGCCTCGATAGAGAGAGACCAGTTTAGCTGAAATGGACAAGCAACTGCAGAGGAATGAGATGAACGAGCTGTGATATGGAGAGATATTAGGGAAAGAAGTATGGGGTGCGAGTGAAACAGCGCTCTACTGCGCCCTGCTGGTTGTGAGAGGAACAAAATTGAGCTCTAAACTGACCCTTGATGTCCACTTTGGAACTTCAAACTGACCTGAGCGGCCTACAGAAGTCAATGCAGTATAACATCTGTTTAACATCAACGCCTGACTGGACTGAGGCCCATGGCGACCAGATGGCAGACCCATATTCACTTACACACACACATCCACATCTGTGTATCTGGCTCTCTGCCTGTTTGTCCTAGATATCTGTATACACATACACACACGAGTCGTATTCCTGCATGTACAGTAGTTGTATGTGTAATTTACCTATCCATGCTGTGCCTACAAATGTATTTATAGTAACTGCTGGACAAGCTTTACAGACCACAGGGAAAAATCCCATGGCGAACCACAACGATTACAGCTAGCCCTTCATTTTGGGCCTTAAATGTCAAAACACTCTGTCAAAACATAAGGAAAAAAAACATCTCCACAACAATAATAACTTCTGCTAGCACCCCTATGAGACTCTAGTAGCTTGTTAGTTACTAAGCTGATGCTCATTCGCATAAACGTTTTTGGCTGTTCTAGATTAAACGCTTCTAAAAACATATTAGCAAATGTTTTACCTTGTAGCGGTTTCATAGTGAATCTGTGAGTAGAGAGGCTAGAGCTGCTACCACTGTGTTCCATTTCTAACGACACGCACTCGCATCAGACATAAAGGTACTAAACTGTCACTGGGGTGGTACCGTCAAGGGTACATCTCTGTACCTTTAGTCAGGGAACATAACTGTACCATAATCCACTGAAATTATATTTTCTAAATTGTATTGACTCCACATACCCTGTCTCATCTCCAGGCTTTTTAATTTTATTGTTCTGTTTTAAGTATTAGGATATAAAATGGTACTTTTCACCTGAAAAAATGATTTAAGGTTCACAGTCGGATCTTGAAACCACTGTTGTGCCTTTGAAGGTATATTTACATTGTTTGTGCCTTGATGAACACAAAACGTACCTACACAGAAGCTTTATTTCTAACAGTGCACTGAATAGGCTAATTTATTCAATTGTATTAAAAAAAGAATAATAAACAATTACAAAAAAGATGGCTAAGTAGGCTGGCTAGCTACAAAGAATTATTAGGTTTGCTGAAGGTCAAAGACAGGAGCACTTCATGGCTCAATTATGAAATCAGACCTTGGAGACATTCAGGAATGAAAGAATTTGTACGTGGAGCATGGATAAGTCATTTCCTGCATGTACAGTAGGTGTAATATGTGTAATTCCTGCATGTACAGTAGGTGTAATATGTGTAATTCCTGCATGTACAGTAGGTGTAATATGTGTAATTCCTGCATGTACAGTAGTTGTGATGTAGTTGCCTGTGTTTAACTCATTCCCATGTCATTCCCTCATAGAGAATGTATCTGTGTCTGTTACTCCATCCTCCACCTCATCCCCCACCCCTTCATCCCCCAGTTTAGAGTTGGAACCCAGAGGTAACCATCCTTCTCTTCTCTTCTCTTCTCTTCTCTTGTTTTCCTCTGTTAATTTCTTTTTAGTTCCTTGTTATGTTTCTTTGGCTTTCTTTTTAGTTCTTGTCTCTTCAGTTCTGTTCTCTCCTTCTATCTTCTTTTGTTTTGTTTTCTTCTTTTCTCTTCTCTTTTCCTCTGTTCAGTTCTTTTCTCTTCTCCTCTCTTCAGTTCTCTTCTCATCTCTTTTCTTCTCTTCAGTTCTTTGCTTTTGTCTTCTCTTCAGTTTTCTTTTCTTCTCTTTTTCCCTTCAGTTCTTGTCTCATTTCTTCTCTTCACTTCTCATTTCTTCTCTTTTACCTTTGTAAGTTCTCTTCTCATCTCTTCTCTTCAGTTCTCTTCTCGTCTCTTTTCTTCTCTTCTCATCTCTTGTCTTTTCCTCTCTCCGGTTCTCTTCAGTTCTCTTTTCTTTTCTCTCTTTAGTTCTCTTCTCATTCCATTTCTTCTCCTCAGTTCTCCTTTTTCTTCTCAATTCTCTTTTCTGGTTTTACCTACTTTTCTTTTCTTTTCAGTTTTCACTCCTTTCTTCTCTTGTCCTCTCTCGGGTTCTCTTCTGTTCTCCTCTTTTTTCCTCTCCTAGGTTCTCTTCTCATCTCTCTTCTTCTCTTCAGTTTTCTTCTCAATTCTTCTCCTCAGTTCTTGTCTATTTTCTCCTTTTCAGTTCTCTACACTTTTCTTCTCTTTTCCTCTCTTCAGTTCTCTTCTTGTCTCTACTCGTCTCTTTAGTTCTTTTCTCTTTTCTTCTCTTCAGTTCCCTTCTTGTTTCTTTGCTTCTCTTCAGTTTTCCTGTTTTTTTTTCAGTTCTGTTGTTGCCTTTTTCCCTCTATCAGTGTCTCTCACTCCTCCCCCTGCATTGAATAACATTCTACATTTTTCCCTCACAGTCATCACATCTTTTGCTCTTTTTCATTCCTGCAGGACCAGCTTGCAAGCAATCTGCCTATTCCTGTTACTGTAGAGCTTCAATTATGGGCTGTTATTTATTAACACTCATTCTAACCGTCTCACGCACACACAGACACACATGAATGCTCTCATTGTCTTCAGTGTCCTTGTCCTCTCAAGCACTAGCACTTTTCTCTGTCCAGTCAGCGGTTGTGTGCTATTTCTTTCCGTTACGCGAGCGTGTGCAGATGAAAACAGTCACACACACAAAGACGGGGGAAGGAGAGGGAAGGGTAAAGGGGCCTGGAAGTGCAGTTCCCTTTGGTGTTTCAGGTCAGAAGAGTGTTTATTGCCATGACCACGGTCATCACTACCCACAGACACACATAAGAGCTTACTCTGCACATCCCAGCGACGTATGACTTTCGATTAGGGCACATTCAGACTTGGACAACTGAATGTGTTTTTGAAAGGTAGGTATGAAAAAATGACAGAAAAGTCCTACGATAAACTAAAGGGGCAGTCCAACCTAAAAGTAGAATTTACTGTGTTATTTGTCGTGTTTTGCAGTATTCTGTAGCACTGCAGTATCTCTTTCAGCATCATCAATCTGACAAAATTTATGATTTTGTATTGTTTTCATGCTTTCATTTATCAGTGTTCCCTCACTACAATACCCAGAATGCTTTAGCAATTAAGAAATACATAATACGACTATTGGGAATGTCTGTGGTGTCACCCAATCGTGACTGCTAGATTTGCCACTGAACTGAGTTGCACCAGGTTTGCATAAGTTTATACTTAAGTTTGCGCATAAAGTCTTTACTAAGTCCTTAGTTACACTAGTCAGTTTCAGACTATTCTTTTGCTAAATTTGGTTGCACCACAAATACGTAACAACTAACTAATGCATACGTGGCTTTAACATGATGATAACATGTTCAGAACCAATCAGTAAACCTGCTGCCATGGAAACGTGACGGCAGCTTCTCTGACTATTTCCATGATAAAAATATCCAGCATGGAAAAGAACAACGAGTGTGCACTAAATAATCTGATGACTGTAGAAAAACAGATTTTGTCTGTAATCTGATCAATGCATTTACATGCACGTGAATAATCAGATAATGGGGAAACTCTAAGTCTACATGAGTGAGGCAGTAATTAGATTTGTGCTTTGCAACCAGCCAATAAACTCACAGAAGAAGACGTGACGTAAACATTATGTATGTTTCAGCTTAAAAAAAAACATCGCTCCACTTTACCTGAAAATATGAATCATCTACAAGATACATACAAAATTTAAATTCATCATTTTGTCAAGCATGTATTTGGTGTCAGTATCGCTCCAAAAATGTTTTGCTTTCATTTCGTAGCAATGCTGCTTGCTTATTTCCGGTACTGTCGTCTATTTTCGCACATGCGCAGATTGAGAAATCAGAGTAAGGGTTCACGTGCAGTGAGAGATCTGATAACTGAGCTAAAATCCAGCTCTCTTTATCAGATTTCCTAATCAGATTTCTAAATCGGAGTATGCTGTTTACATGACCATTTGAATAATCAGATAATTGCAGAAATCTGATTATGATCATATTATTGAGTGCATGTAAACACATTCAATGTGTACAAGATAAACTGAATAAAACTATTTATCTACAGCCGCTGTCTGTTTATTCTTTAATATTTCCCTGAGAAAAACAAATATATAGCTTTGTAAATTCCACGGTTTCTGGATAACCGACACAACAGCAGCCTCAGTTTAGATGTTTGGGCTGCTGCTGAGTCTCACTGAGCTGGAGCTGTGGGAGTTTAAACCAGGCCGATGATTAGAGCTGTAAGTAAAATCACACCGTATTGCATTTAGAATTTTTTGCTTAGTAAACCAGAGAAAGTCGTGGTTTTGGTCTTTTTTGTGCTCCCTACCTGGTTTCTAATGGTTTCCCCAAAACTTACACCTGCTCAGGGGGAGGTGTAAATATTTAGTAACTACTAAGCTCAACGTTAAAACTAGTTTGTGTGGTGCAACTCGTTATGATTTAGTAAAGCATAAATCTGAACTTGGTAAACACTTACATTACAACTAGCCAACGTTTGAACTTGCGCACAGCTGGTGCAACCGGCCACTGATCTATAGGCTCTCCATTCTCCTAACTCACAGTTTTAAGTGCTGCATCTCAGTTATGTATGCTTTTAACCCAGTTTCCACACAAGCTGGGACTCTTTCCGTCAGACAGTGGGGTGAATGCTTAGACCAGTGGTCTCCAACCCTGATCCTGGAGAGCTACCTTCCTGTAGAGTCTAGTTCCAACAATTTGCAACACCTGCTCCAGCTAATCAACCTTATCCCAAGTTCCTGATTGGCTGCACCAGATGCATTAGAGTTAAGTAAGGGGCTGGGCAGCTTATTGGACATTAGAATAGAACAATGGCGGTGCCGCAAATAGACATTAATTGCATATGGACTGCACAGACACAGGGATAAAATAATAATAAGCACACAAGCGATTTCTGACCAGGATTCCTGTTTTAGCCGGTTACCTTATAGTAAGTTGAGCTGACTTGCATTTTTGACAGTGTGCAATATCTGGCTTGTTTGCCTACCTTGCTAACTTTAGCTTTTAGCTTGTAGCCTAAGTCATTTCAGTCATACTTTGAAGCCTAAGCCTTAAAGACTAAAAAGGTTGTGTATAGAACTACACAGGGAGGTTTTGGAACTAAAAAAGAGCCTCTAGTATTAGATAGAATTGGGTTTTACTTATTGATGGGCTTGTGAAAGACCTATGGGCTCTGGGGTCATAGCAAGGCCCTTCAATGGCCCATGCATGTCCAGGCATGCATTAAGTCTTGGACCAAGTTTTAAGAGTCTGTAGGCTAGAATGGAGAAACAGCTCACAGCTGCAGACACAAGCATTCTGTCATCTGACCTACAAAAGAAAGTTTACATCTCTTTCCTCTGCGACAGGCTTGTCACTGAGCGCTGACGTTTTCCCTTTTCGCTCTCGCAACTTTTCTTTCTCCATCGCTCTATTTACTTTGCGCTCTCGCTCTCTCTTTCTCTCTCTCTTTTCACCGCACTGTCTTTATCTCATTTTCCTCTGTGTTCTCATTCTCCTTGTGCTCTCTCGCCCAGAGAGAGAGGGATGAAGGCAGCGGGGGGCATTGTTTCCTCTGACCGTGTGTGTGTTGGTGCAAAGGTGTGGAGAGCGTCTCTTTGCTGTCACTAACTGAGCGTGAGCTGAAGGCACACGAGGCCGAGAGCTGCTTAATTTTTCATCCCTTATAAAATATTGCTCTCCAGACTTCTAATGAAATTTACTCCCCAGCCTGTTCAGCACAGCTCTCTCTCTCCATACCTACATCCACACCTCTCTCTGTCTCTTTTCTCTCTACCCCTCTCTCGCTCTCTCTCTTTTATACCTACATCCACACCTCTATATCTCTCTCTCTCTCTCTCTCTCTCTCTCTCTCTCTCTCTATACCTACATCCACACCTCTCTCTGTCACTTTTCTCTCTACACCTCTCTCTCTCTCTTTTTATACCTACATCCACACCTCTCTCAGTCTCTCTCTCTCTCCATACTTACATCCTCACCTCTCTCTGTCACTTTTCTCTCTACACGTCTCTCTCTATATACCTACATCCACACCTCTCCCACTCTCTCTCTCTCCATACCTACATCTTCACCTTTCTCTCTCTTTTTTTCTACACCTCTCTCGCTCTCTCCATACCTACATCCTCACCTCGCTCTGTCTCTTTTCTCTCTACCCCTCTCTCACTCTCTCTCTCTCCATACCTACATCCTCACCTCGCTCTGTCTCTTTTCTCTCTACACCTCTCTCTCTCTTTTTATACCTACATCCACACCTCTCTCAATCTCTCTCTCTCCATACTTACATCCTCACCTCGCTCTGTCTCTTTTCTCTCTACACGTCTCTCTCTCTATACCTACATCCACACCTCTCTCAATCTCTCTCTCTCCATACTTACATCCTCACCTCTCTCTGTCACTTTTCTCTCTACACGTCTCTCTCTATATACCTACATCCACACCTCTCCCACTCTCTCTCTCTTCATACCTACATCCTCACCTTTCTCTCTCTTTTCTCTCTACCCTTCTCTCACTCTCTCTCTATACCTCCATCCACACCTCTCTGTTCAGCACAGCTCTCTCTCTCCATACCTACATCCACACCTCTCTCTGTCTCTTTTCTCTCTACACCTCTCTCTCTCTCTCTATACCTACATCCACACCTCTCTCTGTCTCTTTTCTCTCTACCCCTCTCTCGCTCTCTCTCTTTTATACCTACATCCACACCTCTATCTCTCTCTCTCTCTCTCTATACCTACATCCACACCTCTCTCTGTCACTTTTCTCTCTACACCTCTCTCTCTCTTTTTATACCTACATCCACACCTCTCTCAGTCTCTCTCTCTCCATACTTACATCCTCACCTCTCTCTGTCACTTTTCTCTCTACACGTCTCTCTCTATATACCTACATCCACACCTCTCCCACTCTCTCTCTCCATACCTACATCTTCACCTTTCTCTCTCTTTTTTCTCTACACCTCTCTCGCTCTCTCCATACCTACATCCTCACCTCGCTCTGTCTCTTTTCTCTCTACCCCTCTCTCACTCTCTCTCTCTATACCTACATCCACACCTCTCCCACTCTCTCTCTCTCCATACCTACATCCTCACCTCGCTCTGTCTCTTTTCTCTCTACACCTCTCTCTCTCTTTTTATACCTACATCCACACCTCTCTCAATCTCTCTCTCTCCATACTTACATCCTCACCTCGCTCTGTCTCTTTTCTCTCTACACGTCTCTCTCTATATACCTACATCCACACCTCTCCCACTCTCTCTCTCTTCATACCTACATCCTCACCTTTCTCTCTCTTTTCTCTCTACCCTTCTCTCACTCTCTCTCTCTATACCTCCATCCACACCTCTCCCACTCTCTCTCTATACCTACATCCACACCTCTCCCACTCTCTCTCTCCATACCTACATCCTTACCTCTCTCTCTCTTCTCTCTCTCTCTCTCTCTCTCTCTCTCTCTATACCTACATCCACACCTCTCTCTGTCTCTTTTCTCTCTACCCCTCTCTCTCTCTCTCTCTATACCTACATCCACACCTCTCTCTCTCTCTCCATACCTACATCCTTACCTTTCTCTGTCTCTTCTCTCTCTCTCTCTCTCTCTCTCTCTCTCTCTCTATACCTACATCCACACCTCTCTCTGTCTCTTTTCTCTCTACCCCTCTCTCTCTCACTCTCTCCATACCTACATCCTTACCTCTCTGTCACTTTTCTCTCTACACCTCTCTCTCTCCCTCTCTCACTTTGTCTCTCTCTCCATACCTACATCCTCACCTCTCTCTTTCACTTTTCTCTCCACACCTCTCTCTCTCACTCTCTCTATACCTACATCCACACCTCTCTCACTCTCTCTCTCGATACCTACATCCTCACCTCTCTCTTTCACTTTTCTCTTGACACCTCTCCCTCTTTATTTCCCTCCCTCTCTCTTCTTTTTCTCTGTCCCTCTCCAACTTTCTTTTTTCTTTCTTTCCTTCACCCTATCTCTTCTCTCTCCACACACCTCTGCCTCTCCCACGTTCTCATCTTTCTCTCTCCCTCACCGTTTTTTTCTCTTTCCACAACTCTCCCTTTCCCACTTTCTCTTCTTCCTCTTTCCCTCACCTTGTCTTATTCCCCCCAAGCTTTCTCCTCTTCTTTCTCTATCTCCCTCTGACACTTTCTCGCTCCTTCTCAATCTCTCCCTCATGCCCATTTTCTCTCTCTCACTCTCTCTCTTTGCACCTCCTTCTCTTCCTTTGTAAACAAAAATAGCTTTATTCATGATTAATGTACAGTTTTCTATTCTGTCTACAAGTGGAACAGTTTATGCTTTTGTGAAAGGTTTCATGCACCTAAAGATAGACTTGAATCATGATTTCTTCTCTTTGAGCCGAACTCAGTCGTAATGTGGAGACAGAGAAATTCCTACACATATAAAAAAGGTACAACATCATATTTGAACGGCAGCAACAAAATCAGTGACAGTATAAATCGTGAGGGTCCTGAGACTCACAACACGTCTCGTTTATTTCATTTATTTACTCATCTGAACATTCAGTGCATGTTTATCCGCCATATGCACCTGCACTGAATCGTTCCAGGTATTTGAGCCCTCCCTGCCCTCATGGTCTGAGGACACCTCAAGCCCCCCATCCCCCACCAGGGTCCCCCTGGACAGTCGGCCCACTGGCCCGTTCAGTAATCCATATCTGGTTTTATTATTATTCTACATGTTTTATAGTTCAGAACTAAACCTACTTCAAAATCTCCTTAAAAGAAAACACATCTCCTTTGCTTTCTTTCTCTCTCTCTTTCTCTCAACACCTCTTTCTCTTTCCCACTCTTTCTCTGTCTCTCTGTCTGTCCCTCATACTTTCTCTCCTTCACTCTCTCTTTCTCCTTTCCTCTCTATCTCTGTCTGTTCCTCTCTCTTTCTCTCCTTTTCTCTCTCTCTTGTTCCAGGTACACTTGTTTTTTCTTTCTAAGATCACTACCCAACTTTATTTGATCACTGTTTCTGTCTCTGCTGCTTTCCAGCTTTTCATCTAATCATCTCTCATGTTTCCTCTTCTTCTTCCTCTCTCACTCTCTGTACCTCCATCACTCTCAGCCCGTTTAATCAGGCCATTAAATATTTAGCGCTGTTGTCCGGTTCCACATGAAGGCGTGTTTGAGGCGGTGTGTGTGTGTGTGTGTTTGGGGACTCTCAGCAGATCTCAGACACACACAGACATCATCGCTCACCCCCGCACTCGTTTCTCCTGTCTGTCTCTCTCTCCTCCGCTCTGTCACTGTGTGTCAGTCTCATGGTAGACAGCCTGTGTGTTGGAATACACCTGGGGGATGACTCAATCTCACACTCCTTTTGTCTCTTCTCTCTCTCCCTCTCTCTCCCCCCTTTCTGTGCGCGTGTGTATCTGTGGCAGACCCCGGGGCGGTGGTGGAGACCCACAGTGCAGTACCATATGCGGTCATAGGGGGCGTTCTGGCTCTGCTGGTTTTCACCATCATCTGCGTACTCATCGTTACCATCTGGTGCTCCGTCCGACAGAAAGGTGAGTTCAAAACCGCTTTTTGAATTTTCCATTAGACCATTTCTACTGGTCCATTCATCGAGACATTTTCACACAATGTTTTGTGTGAAATATGTTAAAAAAAAAAAAAGCAGACAACAAAACAAAAACACAAAACAGAAATTCAAGGTTTTATTCCAATAACGAACATATGTAAGTGAATATGATGGTTTTTAGGATCCTTACTGCATAAACACTTCCACCTTAAAAGTGCAACAGGTAAAGTGATAGCCCCCTTAGCATGGTTTCTATAGATACTCTACAGATACTCTCCATAGATACTCTATAGATACTCTACACATACTCTTCTTTATAGATACTCTACACGTACTCCCCTTATAGATTTTCTACAGATTCTCCCCATAGATACTCTACAGATACTCCCCCCATAAATACTCTACAGATACCCCCTATAGATAATCTACAGATACTCACTCCATATATTTAATACAGATACTCCCCATAGATACTCTACAGATACTCCCATCTATAGATATTCTACCAATACTCCCCTATAGATACTCTACAGATACTCTTCCTCTATAGATAATATACAGATACACTTTCTCTATAGATACTTCATGGATACTCCCCATAGATACTCAATAGAAACAGAAAAATTCCTCCACATTTGAATGGCAACAACAAAATCAATAACAATATAAACCCTGAAGGGCCTGAGTACACATAACATTTCTTGTGTTATTTCATTTATTTAGTTATTTGAACATTCACTGGCTATTTATCCATCAAATGCATCTGCATTGGATCGCCCCAAGTATTTAAGCCCCTTTTGACCTGGTCTGAAGCCTCTGAGGCCTCCTGAGGCCCCTAGCAGTCAGACACCCTTGGACCCTACCTGCTCAATAATCCATATCTGGTGTTAATATTACACTGCATGTTTTGTAGTTCAGAACTAAGAAAAACACATAAGAAATTGTACAGAAATATTAATTTTTTTCTCTCATTAATTGAAAACTTTTTGCAACTGCCGGATCAAATCAGATCAAATATCCTCACAGGCTGGCTTTGGCCTGAGAATCCCGATTTGTGTAGCCTTTCTGTAGCTATGTTATTTTTATTTATTTGTGAAATCAAAGCTGTATATGTACATAGTATAACGCTGCAGCAGAACTTTGCACTGCTGTTTGGAAATGAATAAGTCAGTGTATATATAAATATATAAATATATATATATATATACTCTCAAGAAAGAAAGAGGGCGGGTGTAAAATATTATATTGAGCAGACTACAAACTAATAAACTTGGCTTGCAAGAAGGTGAGTGAGAAGTTGGTTGAGCGAGAGAGGAGAGAGAGAAGCTGAAGGGAGGAGATAAGAGATTTTTGGCATGTCTCGAAGCACTGCCAGTACGGCTCTGTGATATAAAGAGACTTGCAAAACAGAGGTGTGGTCTGACTATTTTATAGCCCTTTAAGTTGACTGTATCTGCATCTAAAGTCTGCATCTATAAAGAAATGCATTACTTTGCTGAAGCCTTTCCTTTAAAAGCTATTGGCACCCTCAGTGGAGCCCGTGTGCCAAGATTCACTTCACCCAGTACCACATCCTGTGTTTTGGGAGGGGCCAAAGAAACTCCATCAACATATCAGCAGAGAGTCAGAAAGCGACATTGGTTGTTTGGTACCTTGGGGTTGACCAATAAAGTGATACTTGGCATTCACACATTTGCCTCAAAAATTTTGAGTTGTTAGGTAATATCAAATAGACTTGCTTATGTGGTTTCTGATGGTCAAAAATGGTCAAAAGTGTGTTGTATAGCTAAAAACGGTAAGACCAACCACATTGAAGCTTGAATTTTCATCCCATTTTATAGTTAGATAACAACCATTTCTTGGTTAATTGACTACATTTGGGGTAAGGGGAAAATTGTAATAATAAATAAATAAATAAAGAAATTTCTTCTTAAGAACTGTTGGTGAATGAGGCCTGTTGAAAGGATCCAAGACCCAAAAGAACAGCTCCTTAAGAACATAAGGAAGAACCATCAAGACAGTGATGTCTAGTCTTATCCACAAAGGGCCGGTGTGCCTGCAGGTTTTCAACAAAGCCGAAGCTCACTTGATAAGTTGTTTTACTGAGACCAATTGATTTAGCAAGTGGATTCAGGCGTACCTTTGCTTGTTTGGAATGAAAGTCTGCAACCACACCGGCTCTTTGTGGATAAGATTGGACATCCCTGCTCTAAGAAGAACCAAAACTCAAAAGTAAAAAACACCCTAAGAGCATGAGGATGAAACACTGAGAGGGAAGTTATCCTCGTCTGGGCTGCGCCAGGTAATTAGATGCTTCATAAAAGCTGCACTTCTTTAAACAGGGTTTAGAAACTTGACTGAACCCCACAAGCCTGGCAACACGTCCACTGTTTAACGATCTCGGCAGCAGCTGCTTTACGTGCCAGAAAAAAGGCACCCATGCAAGATCGATTTTTTAATTAAGCCGTCTTTCGGAGTCGGGCTTGAAGTTGCTCATGCTGGGGCGAAACCAATCGGCCCATAATGACGTGAATGAAAGGGTTATGCAGTGTTGTACTGCTGAGTGCGCTCAGAACAATGCTGATGATGATTATACATACAATTAATTTGAGCTTAATTAGGAGTTACTGTGTCTTTGTCCGCCCCCAAATTTAGAATGGCTTTGACTTTGTGGGGCACTGCTCAAAAGAAGCTTTTGATATTAGGCTCAGAAGGAAAAGAGGGTGAGACGATGCTGGGCAGTGGAGGTCAGCATTGTCTTGGCTTGAACATACTGGGAATTTTGCAGTGATGGCTTGTGAATAAAGATGGTGTATCAGTGTTGATACCATTAATGAGTTGATATCAGCAGAAAATGCTGGATCAATTATCAGAGGGATAAGAAAGAATGCTTCAAAAGTGCTTAAATTAAAAGTAGTTGGAAAAATCACTGAAGTGAATCTTGTATATCTGGTCAGAAGGCTTTAACAAGTGTTATTCTGATAAACATTTTTTCAGTTCATTCGAAGCTCGTGCCTCTAACCTTAATGCAAATTTGTGCCTGGTTTTGAAAGGCCCAGATTTTGGAGTGTGTCCAATTTGTGTCAAGAACATTTGTAAGGTCAGACACCGATGTTGGATGAGAAGGCCTGGATCGTTATCGATGTTCCAGTTCATCCCCAAGGTGTTCAGTGGGGTTGAGGTCAGGGCTCTGTGCAGACCACTGGAGTCCCTCCACACTTAACTCGTCCAACCATGGTTTTGTTAACCTCGCTTTGTACACAGCGGCATAGTTATGCTAGAACAAGAAAGAGTCTTACCCAAACTGTTGCCACAAAGTTAGAGGCATATAATTGTCTAAAATATCTTGCTATGCTTTAGCATTAACATTACCCTACACTGAAACTAAGGACCCAAACCCTGAAAAACAGCCAGAGACCATTATCCCTCCTCCATCAACCTTTATTTTTTGGTAGGTACCGCTGACCTGTCATCCACCAAACCCAGATTCAACCATCAGACTGTCAGATAGTGAAGCGTGATTCGTCACACCAAAGAACACATTTCTACTGCTCTAGAGTCCAGTGGCGGCCTGCTTTACACCACTCCAGCCGACACTTGGCATTGCGCATAGTGATCTTAAGCCACGGTCACACCGAATGCAAGTAATATCTGCCTGGGGAAAAAAAGCCATTTTGCTTGAATGGCTTTTCGCTTAAAAAGGACACAAGTTCATCTAGATGAATTTTAATTCCGCAAATTTGTGAGCCGTAATGTTGCTTGTTACTCAAAAAAACTAACATTAACCATTTACTAAACTAAATTTTCCTTCCAAAACCACCTCATATCAGCACTGCCTGTACTCGCCTGACTTTTGCTCCAGCAATGCAAAGAAAGGAGCACAGCGATAGTCCAATGCTCATGGCTTTAGACTTGTGTGTCTCTGCTTGGCCATGGAAACCCGTTTCAAGAAGCTTCCCACACACTGATGCTGATGCTGCTTCCAGAGGCTCTTTTACACACTACTTACATCAGCACTCGGCAGCCCCGCTCTGTGAGTTCTACTGCTTCTTGGCTGAACTTTTGTTATGTGTAAATGCTGCCGTTTCACAATAATAGCACTTAAAGTTGTCTGGGGCAGATCTAGCAGGGCAGAAATTTCCCAAACTGACTTGTGCCAAAGGTGGTATCCTATGACAGTGCCACATTTCAAGTCACTGAGCTCCTCAGTATGACCCATTCTACTGCCAGTGTTTGTCTATGGAGACTGCAAGACTATGTGCTTGATTTTATACATCTGTTAGCAATGGGTGTGGCTGAAACACCTGAACTCAATAATTAGGAGGGGGTAGCCACATACTTGTCCAGATCCAGATACTAATGCACAGTCCTCCCAGGTTTTGTGTGGCCTTCCCGCATGGTCCATAAATGCGGTTTAGGCTCGTTCAACAGTACATAATGTGCAGGTGGAATGTGTCTGGTTTGTGCCTAAAATTGGTGTAAAAGGCTTAGTACACTAGATATCCAAATATTTGTCCATACCTGCTGCTCAAATGTTTCTTCTGAATTCAGGTGTATTGATAGTGAGTTTGCCCCCTTTGCTGCAGTAACAGTCTCTACTCTTCTCAGAAGGCTTTACACTAGATGTTGCAACATTGCTGTGAGGTTTGATTGCATTCTGCCAAATGAACATTAGCAACATTAGTTCCACAGCTCCATCGTCCAATGCTGGGGCTTTACACCCCTCCAGCCAGCGCTTGGCATTGGGTATGATGACCTTGAGCAGCCCATTCTATTAGCATTGCTTTTCTGTGGAGATAATACAAGCTGCCTGTGTCTCGTTTAGTAATGGGTGCACCTTAAAGTAGCCGAGTTCACTAATTAGAAGGGGTGTTAAACCATGTGATCTATATCGGGGCCTGAGGATTTTTGTGAATTTGTGATGCCTTTTAAATGGAGCCCTACATCTTAATTAGGATGAATTTGTAACCTGCCTTGTAATAATCAGCACTGCAGTAATGAGCTTGTATTAGTACAGTACAGATATACTGTATCATCTCTCACTCTATCTCTCTCTCTCTTTTTCCTTCTCCAGGCTCGTATCTGACACATGAAGCGAGTGGTCTGGATGAGCACGGTGAGGTGCAGGAAGCATTTCTCAACGGGAATGACACAAGTCAGGGCAAGAAGGAGTATCTACTGTAACAGCCTGCAGTGGACGGCCACAGAGCGGACACCACAGCCACTCACACAAACACACACACACACACACACACACACACACACACACACAGCCCTCTTCATATCCACCAGAGCAGTGCCATATGAGGGCTGAGAGAGAGACAGTAAGAGCGAGAGAGAGAGATAGTCTGGAGAGGACACTAAATAACAGGTCACTATTACGGAAAAACATATTTGTCTCGTTTTTATGAAATAAGAAAGTTTAATGTAGTATGTAAACATTGTTAAGGTTTTAAAATGTACTGTTCGTTCCCCAGTCCATACATGTGAACTAAGCTGTTTTGAATTCATCATGGTTGTGATGTCACATCCATGAACACATTTACATATAATCTTCCATTCAGCCCACAGCAGTTCAGCTGCCCATTCATGTTGAAGTGACAAAGAGTGTTGTTCCTGTGGACAGTCTGTAGCAGAGTTGTTGGAGTGGAAGATACGGGAAAACAATTAAACGTTGTGCTGTTCCTGGCTGTCAGGAAGGCAAATGAATCATTGCAGGTTCCCAAACGATCCACGTGTTAAAAAGAAGCGACTTAAGTTTATTTTTTTCATGTTCCTTAGGCTGGCTATACGCGGTGAAACTTTTATGCAACTTTTATTTTATTTTGCGACAAAGTTAGTTTCCTACAAAATAATTTCAGTGCAATTTGACAGTTACACAGAGCAGTTAAAAAAATAGCCAAATTAGTAGCTTGTATTTTTTGATGCACCATATAATTTTTACTATAAAGTCATCCGTGAGGTCTTATTGACATATTTGCAGCACTTCTATCTTGGTTTTATTCTATAAATCTATATATTGTTCTTTTATATATCTATCAAGGGTTATTTGCAATATATTTGTTTTTTATATGTACAGAGTATGTTATTTAGCATTAGCATTAGCTGGCTAATTAAGCTAGCTGTTTACAGAAACATTAGCTTCAAGAAACCCATTTGTTGTCATGGCAAAGGAATCTGACAAAATGAAAAACTATCAAGCTTCTGTAAAGCCAGTCAGGGGGGTCTCTTTTTCAGTTGGCTAATTTTCTGTTGTTGTCCATTTGTTGTCCACTGATTGGTAAAAGCCATCGTTCGGAATTATATTGTGTGACATGATCGTGTAATGTGTTATTGCCATTTTTGATTGGCTGGTTGAGAAATATGTAACTGTTGCGGCAACAAGTGAGTTGCAGGACACTTTGTTATGCAACTCAAGTGCAACTTAGTTTCATGTAGGTTTTAAGCAACTACAGTTTCACCGTGTGAAGCCAGCCTTAGGATTACAGTCCTAATTTCCACCTCTCACCACAAAACAGATCAGCCAATAAGAACAGAGATCATTTACATATATAAATCTTAAAGACCCAGCAATAAAAAACAGGCCGTTTAATTCAAAATGCAAAAATGAATTCTGACTGTTTTGGTACAAAAACCCACACACAGTTATAAGTGGACTTCAGAAGAAAATCTGAAAAATGTAGAATATGGGCTCTATTACACAATATCCCTATTCCTGTTCCTAAGCAGTGAGTAGGAGTCATCAGAGAAAAGAGGCTCTCACTCCTGCTAGAATCAGGCTGATCCATAGCAGCACACACACTATCGAATGTTCCAATGTAAACAAACGAACCATTCTGCCAGCTTTTCAGCTTTCAGACTCCAATCAAAGGCAATCAGAAATAAACCCCCTGATGATCCCTGAGTACATCATCCTTCACTCATAAATAATTTGCACCAGCTCCTAGATATTGGCTGGTCAGAAACTAGAGATGCACCAACTTAGAATTTCTAGGCCAATAACGATTTATTAGCTTTTTTTATATAACAAGAATTCCACACTGAGTGGTTTTCCAGATCCAGATTAAAGAGGTCCTATTATGCTAATATTCAGTGTTCATACTTTTATTTTATTTTTGGTGTCTACTAAATTAGATCTACATGTTTCAATGTTGCAAAAACACATTTTTTCTCATACAGTACCTCTCTTTTTACCCTCTGTCAGAAAACTCTGTTAGAGTTTCAGTGTCTTTAAGCCCCACCTCCTGATGAGCCCAGTGTGCTCTGATTGGTCAGCTTGCCCATTCTATTCTGACTGGTCAGTCTGATTGAAAGCAGTAGCAGCATCCTGCTACACGTTCTGGCCCTACATGTTCCGCCCCTGTCTTGCGGTCTGCACACAGACCCCTCTTTCCTGAGTGGCTGTGAACAGCTGTGGCTGTTCTTACAATGTCTTCTGTTCTGCCATGTCATGACCTAAATGTCAGGTCACCGTCTTCTCGACATGGCTACAAAGCTGAACCAACTCTTTTCGGCCTCCGGTAGTTGCTGTGTGTGAGGGCATGCTAAGCTTGCCAGAAGGCAGGCAGTAAGGACTGTGCCATGAGATTGCATCATCTTGTAACAAAGGAAAAGAGCTGGAAGTCCAACAAAGCCTTTCAGACAGCTGAGAAGAGTGGGAGGAAGTTGCTCCCTGTGGTGTGTACTTTGGGCTTTATAACTTTGCAGACCGTTTTCATGCACAAAAAGCTACATAACACACAAAACGAAAGGAAGAAACCGAAAAGCATAATAGGTCCTTAAGGTCTTTAAGGCTAACTCTTTAAGGCTGACTGGAAAGAATTTTCCGATATTGATTCACCGTTGACACTAAACGGCAATGTCAATGGTGAATCACTAGTGACATTTCAATAGTGTTTCACCATTGACTTCGCAATGTAGTCCAAGACTTGGCTTCCACTGACTTGAGAGTGGTTGGATGTGAAATGCTATATTATACATAAACTTACAGACTTACAGACTTCTTTATAGTGCTGGTGGTCGGCACCAGGGGTCACAGTGTGTACAACACAAATGTAGCCAAATTATTTGATGTCAAAACAATCAGTGAGTCTACACGTGTCACAGATTTTTATGTGTCTCTGGGGAATATTTTGCCACACAATGCCAGGCATGTGGCCCTCCACCATGAATGGTTTTAAACCAAAATCCTTCTTGGGCATCAGGCAGCATATTCGTAACCACCATGTCATAACTTTCTTTGTTTTTTTTTTCCCCCAATTGTTTCCCCAATTTAGTCGTCTCCAATTCCACCCACTAGTTAGGATTCCCCCAATCACACGACACCAGCTCTAGGAGGGTGAAGGCTAGCACAGGCTTCCTTCTAGTCCTGTGAAGCGCCATTGCATCTTTTCAAACTGCTGTTCATGCAATGTCACTGGACAGCCGAGGCGGGGCCATCCTGCCCACCCAGAGAGAGTGAGGCCAATTATGGTTTCTTGGACTCCTGACCACGAATGGCTGTTTTATCACCAGGGATCTTACTTGCAATCTCATGATGATAGGGCCAACACTTAGACGGTTGTCCTATTTGGGATTCCCGCCTCATGTAATAACTTTCTTTGAGGGAGCTTTTGGAGGAACTCTGGTCTGGTTCCTGTCACCACCCATGTGAACAATTCTGACTCGGTCATTTTAAGCCTTTTACATCTAACAACTTTCAATGATTTTACATGTTAAGCATTTAACCATGCAGACATTGAAAAAGAAACAGTGGATTTTAGTGGAATAACTTTCTGTGAGGGAGCTTGTAGGCTGTGTTCAGACTGCAGACAAATCAGATTTGTTTCTCAAATCAGATATTTTGAGGTGACTGTCAGTACTGACATTTGCAAGTGATCAGATCAGACTTGTGAGTCCAGACATCACCGACCTATTTGTATGGGTTGCTATGGTAACGACGTAGACGTCAGTAGCCACGTAGCTACGCTGGTGACGTGGATTTCAAACTTGGATGCAGAAGAGATGGAGGTGCATCATCTCGCCCTCCAAATTCTCTGGCGTAAGCATGATTCTTTGGTGCTCTTCTTGACTCCCAGCGCTTCTGCCACTCTGGATTTGACATCGTTGTTGTTTGTTATGTTCCGAGTAATGCAAAAGACACGTTGGAATCCGATCTGAGTAACCATAGTGTCCAGACTGAGACACTTCTGTTGAAATCCAATTGGAATGGCATTTCAAACCACCTCCAAATGTGGTTTGGATCCGATTTGCATGTAGTTTCTAGCTGTCCACACTATCAAATCAATCTGGGTACAATGCCAAAAATCGGATTTGGGCTGGCACTCTGAGCATAGCCTTATAGACAGTAAACCTTTCAGACGTTTGGGTCCAACCACAATCACTGAGATCTGCTCTGGCTTGGCTGGATGATTACATCTTAACCGTGTAGAGATTCAGAAAAATCGGTGGAATTCCTCTTCATTCCATGTCCAGGGAACAAGCACTATAGATGTTAGCTGCTCACGCTAGCTGCCTAGTGTATATAAACTGGTGGGATGATGACTTTTCAAATGATGAATTAAATTACCTCAACATCTTCCATTCTTCAAAGAAAACGTTTGTTTTTTCTTCTTAAACTGGGAAAAAAATGTGCCAGCTTAATGGTCATAACTCCAATATTGGACAGATAATCGAATTTTCCAATATATCGTGCAACCCACACCCTCAACTCGGTCTTATCGCCTCTCCATCTCTCTCTCTCTTATTTGTTTATTAATAATAAAGGCATTAGAAGTGTCCTCTTTGAGAACTGGGCGAAGCTGGAAGGTTACAGTCAGGAGTTATTGGAGCCCTCTTGACCGGGAAATGACGAGAATCAGGAAAGTGACTGAAAGAAAGTCGAGAAGGAATATTTTTGAATGCTACATATACACAAACACCTACATACTCACACATACTCAACAAACACAAACGAAACATATCTCTTAAGTCATTATTTGTACAAAAAAGTCAAAGTAAATTAAACAAACCTTTTAAGAAGTGAACAGTACTTTTGAGCGCATTACCAAGCGATGCTATTATACTAACACAGAATATTAGCCTAGAGGTACAAAACCGAACAAATTACTGTTGAGTGATCTTTAAAAAAAAAAGGAGAAAATGTGAAAAAAAAAAACATTTCTTTAAAAGATACCTTGATTTTTTTTTTTTTTTTTAATTAATTATTGTTTGGACTATTATGATTGTTGTTATTATTATTACTGTTATTATAATTGTAAATGTTACAATTGTACACTTTTTTCTTTTTCGTTCCACTCTAGAAAAACCCAGTCGTTCTGCTTCTTCTCCTCTCTTTTATCCTCTTCTCTCTTTCTTGCTCTTTCTATCATTGTGCCTGTTTGTCTCCAGTCTCTTCCTCTTTGTCTTTCACCCATGTGTTTTTTTTTTCCTTTCTCTTTCTTTTTTCTTTTTATAGTCTTCACGTCGCTGTTGATATAGCTAACTGTGTTTCTTTATAGGAGAAAGACACCGAGCACGACAAAATAAAAACGTACTTCGAAGAACCTCCTGTCAGAGCCTTGTCTTGCCTGCTTTGCCGAAACTCATTGCAACATGTCAATAAAGGAGAGAGTGAGAGGGGCTGAGAGAAAGAGAGAGAGAGAGATGGAGAGATCGATGCATTTACAGGTGGCTGTAAAGGACAAGGAGAATCGGGGGGGCATTTAAATCTGACAAAGAGAGCGATAAAATGAATGAAGATGAAAGAATGAATATAGAAAAGCCACAGTGGTAAATCATAACGATGATGGGGGGAAAAGCAGAAGAGAGAGAGAGAGAGAGAGAGAGAGGGCGAGCGAGATAGCGCAGCTGTGGAAAACTACACCATTAGGCCGCCATTATTCCCGCGCAATCAATGCGGCATTCTGTCAGAAGACGCTCAGCGGAGGGTTTATTGCCGGCAGGCTTTTGGATTTAAAAGCCAGCGGAGGTCGCCGCGGCGCTGATCGATGTGTTTGTCCTCCGTCGATGCGAGGCACAGCAGAAGCGCCCCGTCATAAAGAGTGATTGTCGAGCTGCAATCAAAGCGGCTCTCCGCGCATGCGCCGCAAAGGCGCATATGGCGGCACTCCGCTTTTAAAGCACGGCCATAAACGACGAGGCCGCAATTAAACAGACGAGGCTGTTGTGTATGTAGGTAGAGGAGGAGGAGGAGGAGAAGGAGAGGAGGGAGTCATGCCAACCGGAGGTGATTGATTTATACTTCTACGAAGACGCATGTAAACATGCAGTTGTATGCAAAAGTGTTGACATGAAAAGAAGTGAACGACCTCTGCAGCAAACCTCTGCAGAAATTAATACACAGTTACCTCTTTTTTTGATCCCTTTGGGGGGGAAACGTGGATTGTGCAAAAGTTTGGGCACCCAAGTCTCAGTTAGGTCTCAATTGTGGCAGGTCAAGAAGCGTCAGTAGGAATTCTCTCATTTCCAGAGCATAATCATTTCTGAGATTCGGGTGCCAAAACTTTGGCACAAGACCCAGTTTTCTTCTGTAATGCAGCTAAAGTAACAAAAAAGTTTTGGCACCCGAATCTCGGCACTTAATGAGCTCAGTTAGGCCTCAATTGTGGCAGGTCAAGAGCCGTCATTAGGAATTCTCTCGGTTCCAGAGCGTAATCGTTTCTAAGACTTTGGCGCTAAAACTTTTGCACAAGGCCCAGAACTTCTTACGCTCAGGAGCCAGATTCACAAAAGTGTCTGAAAGCAAATCTTAAATGTGTGTTTTTTCTTGATTTCATTCTTAAGAAAAAGTTAAAATCATTCAAATAACTTCTTAAGAATTCTCTTATTTTTTCATAACAGTTTTCTAAGAATAACTCTAAGAAGAAGAACGTTATATTCTTACATTTATACTTAAATATAGACTTTACGACTCACGCGTGGCTGTAAGAGTGGACGAGGTGAGCATCTAGATTTATCAAACTCAGATGCTGCTTCTGCTGCTCCTGCCATCGTATTTTCCAAGGTTTTTTTTTTCCTGTTGGCTGTTTCTTCCTCCATCACCTTTAGTTGTTGTTTGCTTGTTTTGATGTATTTCCTCCATGATGATCTTCTGAGTGTATTAAATAATGGGATTAGCAGTTAATATAAAATAAAAATATACATTTTTTTTTCAACAATTGCATTTAAGAACATTCTCACAAACGTCTTGTGTTTGTCTTAAGAACCTTCGTAAGTTTTTTCCTCTCCTTGGTCTTAGAACTTAGCCATAGCTGTAGCAGGTCAAGGGTCTTTGATCCAGAGCGTAATAAGTTCTCGGACTCTTCAAATCCTCTGCTAACACTTTTAGAAATGGTATTTAGAAGCATACACAAATAGAAAGTCTTCTTAATACTTGCTATTACAATTTCGAAATTGCAAATCAGAAAACTCTGAGCTCTTGGGAAACGCTGACTTTCCGATTTGGAATTACCAATTGGAAGGCTGTTCAAGCAGATTTTTGGAAGTCAAAAACTTTCCCGTTCTGACTTGGTCATGAATGCAGCATATACACCACCCTAATAGTACATTCAGATAATACTAGGAATTCAGCTACGGAAAAGCACTCAAAATTCCATATCTTTCTTAGTTGAATTGCAAATGAGAAGGCCATTCAAGTGGATTTTTCCATTCCAGAAATGTCCCAGTTCCGACTTGGTCGCGAATACAGCGGATAAACCATGCTAATAGTGCGTTCATATGGTATTGTAAATTTAACTATGAAAAAGTTTGATAAACAGTAAACTTTCTTGGTTGGAACTGTGCACTGGAAGGCTGTACAAACGTCTCCGCCCTCCCCCTTCAAAGTCGAAAACTTCCCAGTTCTTGGCCAGGAACGCAGTGTTTAAACCATCCTAGTGGTGCATCCAGACAGTCCTTATAAATTCGGCAATGGAATAGCACCCAAATTCCCAAATCTTGCCCAAATCATGTGACAAATACAAAGCCAAAGGTTGATTGGACTATTTTTGTGCTTGTAAGCACAGGGAAAATGCCAGCTGTGGTTGAACGTGTTTGGGAAACTGTGGATGACATTCTATTCTTCGGCAAGAACTGAACAACCATTTAAGTTCAAAAGTGCCTGGAAGTTTTACCCCATTCAGTGCAAAGGCAGTTGTGCCTGTTTTTGACAACGTTCTGCAAGCCGCTCCTCCACTGCTTCATGCCGCGGTCCATTGTGCACATGGATTCACTTTTTTCTCTCCTAGTATTGTTGCCTGAATCATTTGTTCAATTTGCTGGCCGTCTTACGCAACAAGAATGGTGAATATTTTCTGTTGTAAGCATGTCGAGCATTCTTGAAAACATTGTTCCTCTCTCATAATACAAGATAATCTGTGTTAATTGCCACTAACCTGGAAATTCACTTTGTGTTTTGAAAATTTGTTGCAAGGGCCAAATAGGGAATAAAATCGGAATACAATCATGTACGTATTCCCTGTTTTGGTATAACCCCTATCTGCACACAATGAACACATATTGCAGATTTCAAGATGCAGAACTGACTCAAGACTTTTCATTTGGCGGTAATTCTGTTGTTCACAGATTCACCTAAAACCTGCATTGTGTACTCTGTAGTATGAGCAAATCACTGGAAAGATAAAGACACTTTGCTCTGAATGAAAATAACTAAATATGTTTTTAATCTGAAATTTGCATTCCTTATAGCCTCTTAAATGCTATTCCAGAGTTTAGGAGCTACATAGGGAAATGATCAGATGAGCTGTAGGTGATCCTATGAGTTTGCTGTAAGTCTGCCTCAGCTGAGTGAATTGGTCTGGATGGGCAACAATGCTTCGACAGGTCAGTAGGTGTTTAAGAGCTTCAAATGTCATTAGAGAGAGGGAGTGTGGTCAATGTGGAACTTTAACAGGAAGCCGCTGTGAACTTCTAATAAATTGGCCAGTGAGTGGAAGTATGAGGTAGGTGTTTCTAATAAAGTGGCCAGTGAGTGGAAATACAAAGTTAGTGTCTCTAATAAAGTGGCCAATGAGTGGAAATACAAGCTCAGGGTTTCTAATAAAGTGGTCAGTCAGTGGAAGTACAAGGTAGGTGTTTCTAATAATGTGGCCGGTAAGTAGAAGTATAAGATCAGGGTTTCAAATGAAGTGACCAGTGAATGGAGGTAAAAGTATTTGTTTGTAATAAAGTGGCCAGTTAGTAAAAGCACAAGGTTAGTATTTCCGGTAAAATGTCCAGTTAGTTCAAGGTAAGTGTTTCTAATAAAGTGGCCAATGAGTGAAAATACAAGCTCAGGGTTTCTAATAAAGTGGTCAGTTAGTGGAAGTACAAGGTTGGTGTTTCTAATAAAGTGGCCTTTGAATAAAAGTTAAGGTCAGTGTTTCTAATAAATGGCCAGTCAGTGGAAGTAAAATCAGATGCTTCTAATAAAGTGTCCAGTTAGTGGAAGTACCTGGTTGTGTGGTGCTCAGACAATAACCTAGTTCTTAACACCAGAAAGACCAAGGAGCTCATCCTCGACTTCAGGACAGGCAGGAGTGGACATGTTCCACCCTTCCTCAAGGGTGATACGGTAAAAAGAGTTCACAGTTTCAAGTACCTGGGTTTACACATATCAGGAAGGTAAATCTCAACAGAGACCTGCTTGTCACCTTTAACCATTGCAGAATTGAAAGCATTCTCACTGTATTTCAACCTGGCACACCAGCTGCACCACCGCAGAGAGACCCGCCCTGTAGCAGGTCATCAGCAGTGCCCAGTGACTCATCGGAGTCATCAGCGCCCGTACTGCCAGACTGAGGAACACTTTCTTCCCTAGAGCAATAATCCTCCTTAACCAGACTTCAGGATCTTCACAACACAATGAACTCCACTGACCAATGGCAGCTCTGAGCACTTTCTCACTAACTGCATTCCAACCACACAAGACACACCGGTTAACTGCATATTGTTCACTTTATATATTATGTGTAGTATATTATGTATAGTATGCATAGTGTAGCATAGTATAGTATATATTATATTACAGTATAGTCTTGTATACCAAGG